CCACGCCAGGGTGACCTGTCGTAACCATAAAGGAGGACAAGGTACAGCCAAATGTAGGACGGGAGAAAAATGGACGACATGATCATATAAAAGCTGAAAGCTCTCATATAAATGTAAATTTCATGCTTTTCGTGATGCTCAGAATGGAGGACATTTTGAAATTCCTCCTGGAGAGAACGTTGAAATGGAGGGTATGTCCTGGAAAAGGAGGACGCCTGGTCACCCTGCCCTATGGCGACCATATCATGCGGGTTTCTTGGAAAGATATGTTCAGGGTTTTTTTTTTGTTTTTTTTACCATTGCTGTCTTTGAAGCTGAGAGAGTGTGACTTGCCAAAGGTCACCCAGCGGGTTTTCATGGCTGAACTGAGAATCAAACCCTGGTCTTCCAGAGTCAGGATGACAAGATGTAGGACATGCGAGAAAAATATAGGACATTGCACAATAAAAACTAAAGACATGAATATACATGTTAATTCATGCTTATTTCGTATGCTCTAAATGGAGGACATTTTAACAATTCCTCCTAGACCAATGGTTTTAATGTAAGACATGTTCTGGAAAAGGAGGTCATCTGGTCACCCTGCCCAGAGTTATAGTCCCACACTCAAACCACTACTCCCCTTAAAATGCTGAAGAGATGGGGTGAGTGGGGTGAGGGTCAGTTGGAGGAGAAAGGAAAGACCTTAGGTCTTTAAAATATATATATTTTATATATATTAAATTTGTTATGTTCTTTTCCAGTTTTCTTTTTTAAAAAATCACATCTTACCAAATTTTACTTTAACCACATGAAACTATGTACATTTAAATACATTGAGGCTGTGCATATGATACTGTACAGTGGTCCCTCCACATTTGCTGGGGTTAGGGGTGAAGGGCCTCCATGAATGTGGAAAAACCACAAATAAAAAACTATTTTTTTCCTAAAAGGACACCTCTCTAGGAATCTCCAGGTCTTCCAGTGCAACTCTGATCAACATCTGCCAGAAGTTTATCACACAATCATGGTGGAGCTCCTCCAAATGCCTAGAGAAGTGTTTTCTCTAGGTTCTAGGTTCTCCATCACAACTCTGTGGTCATCTTCCAGCAGAATTGCACTGGAGGACTTAAGAGATTCCTAGAGAGAACATATTAATCAAAACTGCAAATAATCAAAGCCGCAAATGTGGAGGGACAACTAATTTAAAGGTATAATTTTAATTTTGCTAGTTGTTTTATGTCACAGCTACGGTGGGCCCGTCCCATAAACAGGTGATCTGTTCCGGACCCACACACCCCTGTAGGAAAAAATGGGTATGTTAAAACCCCATAGAAAACAATGGTTGGGCATGGGCGCCATTTTGTCCCCCCCCCGGGCTTGCTGAAGTGTAAGCTGAAAGCTGGGTACAGCACGGGCGCACTGTATTATCATTATATTCAGTGATACATGGGAATTATGATTTATGAGAAACAGTACAAAAACATTACTAAGGATTGCATAATAATAATAATAATAATAATTTTTTATTTGTAGCCCGCCCCTCTGCAGAGCAATCGGGGCGGGGGACAACAGCATTTAAAACAAAATGGTGTGGGATGGGAGGAAGTCAGCAGGGGTGTGCATATGTACATTACTGTGTGCAGTAAAATAAAGACTGGAGACAAAACAGTTTGTTTTTTTTTAACTAGGTGCAGGTGTATTTTGTTTACACAGCATTCTCTGAAGAAATAAGGCTCTTCAAAGCACTGCGAATCCTGCTAAATATGAACAAATGGGATTCAGAAAGTTGGACATACAAAGATACTTTTCGCCATCGCACCTATCCCCTCTTCCTTCGTGTTGTTGTTGTGTGCCATCAAATCGTTTCTGACTTATGGCAATCCTATCATGGGGTTTTCTTGGTAAGTTTCTTCAGGGAGGGTCTGCCATTGTCTTTCTCTGAGGCTGAGAGCATGCAACTTGCCCAGGATCACCCAGTGGATTTCATGGCCAAACTAGGAATCAAGCCCTGGTCTCCAGAATCATAGTCCAATGCTCAAATCATACAAAACAAAAATCCTACATGTCCTCCCAGATTTGAACCTAGAATATTCAACCCCTTCATTATTATTTTTCTAAAGTGAGGAAGGATACCATGTGGCCCACCAGAGAGGTTGCAGCTCCCAGTCCAATATGCATCCGTACTGCAGAAAGACTCCAGGTTGGCACCATTTTAACTATCATGGCTCAATGCTATGGAATTCTGGGAACTTTTAGCCTTCTCTGTCAGAGATCTCTGAAGCCACAACAAACTACAAATCACAGAATACCACAGCACTGAGCCATGGCAGTTAAAAGTGGGGTCAACCTGGATTATTTCTGTAGCATGGACAGAGACATATGAACTATGGCTCATATGAATTTTATTAATATGTTCTTTCTAGGAATATCTAGGAGGTCCTCCAGGACAACTCTGTGGTCAACTTTAACCAAAAGTCGCACTGAAGGACCTAGAGATTCCTAGAGAGAACACTCCATTAGGCATTTATAGCTCCTGCAGCACAATTCTATGGTCACAGTCTGGCAGATGTTGACCAGAGTTGCAAGGGAGGACCTAGAGATTCCTAGAGAGGTGTTCTCTCAGGTAAAAACATAGTGTTTTTGGTAGTTGCGTTTTTTTCACATTCATGGGGGGCCTATGCCCCTAACCCCAGTGATTGTGGAGGCACGAGTGTATATGTAATTGAGAAAGTAGAAGTCATACAGCTTTCTAAATGTTAGACTGCAGACTTCAGCATTCCTCACCATTGGCTATTCTGGCTAGAGCTGATGGGCCTTGCAGTCCCAGAAAATCTGACTGCATGGTTGCCATACCTGCTCTAGTTTTTAGGCAGCATGATCCTGCATTTTATCCACTCTGAATCCTTAATCACTTGCCAATCTTTCCTGGATTGCTCCACTGCCTTTCACTTGATTTCAGCTTAATTATGTTGCATTATAAGCAACCTTGGTGTTCTGCTGAAGGGCAGTATATAAATCTTTAATATCAATAAAATGTGGGAATGGATGCTCATGAGGCAGGGAAAGTCAGGGACAAAAGAGAACTATAGAAACATGTTTCTTCAGGAAGCTCAAATTACTACATATGAGACAAACCCATTTCATCTTCACATCAGTCCTGAGAAGAGTTTTATAGAGAGCTTTATAGCAAAATTGGAATTTTTATCCTGGTCTCTTGACAGCCAGAATGACGTAGTGGTTTGAGTGTTGGACTATGATTCTGAAGATTGGGGTTCGAATCCTGGCTTGGCCATGTAAACCCGCTTGGCCAAGTCACATCCTCTCAGCCTCAGGGAATGGTAAACCTCCTTTGAACAAATCTTGCCAAGAAAACCCTATGATAGGTTTGCCTTAGGGTTGCCATAAGTCAGAAACAACTTGAAGGCACAGAACAACAACTTCACCTCTTACCCATTGCCAGTGTGCATCATTGTTAGATTATTGGGCTCCCAGGATTTCGAGGGAATGCATTCCTCTTCCAGTGGTCCGGGAAGCTAGTTTACATGTTCCCACCGTTTCCGCTCATCACGAGAGTGGTCGCCAAGATCAGAGCAGATCTCTCCGACGCCATCCTCATTACTCTTTGGTGGCCAAGGAAGCCATGGTTCGCACCACTCTTGAACCTATCCAGGAGGAGTTTCTGGACCAAAATGTAATTGTTAATTTGCTGCAGTATCTATTAAATTTAATTTACTACTGAAATGCAGAATATTTAATAGATTAATCAAATGGAAGTAATTGAAACTGAAATGCACCCATATTTTTACATTTTTTTAGAAAGAGATACTTCCCTGTGGCTTGTCTGTGTGTACATTGTGTGTATTTTCCCCTCTAATTTTACATTCCAGTCTTAAGCATACTTATTTGGAGGTCAGTCTCACTGATGTCATTGGAATAATATATGCTAAGGTTTGCACTAAAAGAATCATACCTACCTCCCCACGTCAACATTTTCTCAGGCTCTGGAACTGTCTTGCAAGGCCCTTTCTAGATTGTCCTTCTACCAGCAGGCAAATATATTTTTATTTAGACAGGTCTTTGGGTTGCTGTTGGAAGGTTTTTTTAAAAGTAGGGTGATGCTATTTTTTGTAACTTATGTATTTCTAATCATGCCTTCTTCCTTTTTTATTTATTTGCTTTATTTTAATTGTTATATTGTTATCTACTTGATTGCTATTTTTTTAAAGAAACGTGGAATAGCAATATAATAAATAAAAACTATATGTTCCATAAGTTGATCATGTGTCTTACCAGATCAGAATCTTTCAGCATGTCAAAAATTTTCTTTACACACTATTTGTAGGTATACAAATGCTATAGGACGGTAGTTATTATTTGATACAGAACAGCAGTATACAATTAACCATTTACATCTAAAGGTAAACTGTAGCATTTCTACCAAAAACAACATTGGAAAGATGTACACATTTTATTGCTGCTCTCTAATATTAGAAACCCATCCTGAATAAACTATGCAAGAATTGTCATCCTGTGGTCCATCTGTCTGTCCGTCTCTCAATCTCTCTGTCTCTCTCAACTAATTTCTATTTTAGCTTCTTTTGACAAGATTATGATAATAATAACATTCAGAATTTGTGTTCATTCCATTTTCCCCTTAGATGGATTTTGTTCCTGCTTTCTTCTTTATTTCTGGACTAGTGAATCTGGCTTTGTATTGATTGGAAAAGACCTTAGTTTGATACATCGAACACCTTCAGGTAAAAACAAAGTTGTAAGGACTGTGTAGGTTGTACTCAGCCTGGGTGAAGGCATGGCTATTAGGACATCAGGACATGCCTGCTACATACCTTATACTACACTAAGGGAAGGATCTGCCTACTATTTCAGTTCAGCGAGGGTAGACTGTCCCATAATTGAGGCAGGTTGCAACCTTATCATTGTCTTTGGATTACTTTTTCCCCACATGTTGGATATGACATATCAAGCCCTAAACAGAAGGCTACTTTCTTCCATATGTGCCTGGCTGGGTATTGAAATCTTTCAAAGATGCCCTTCCCTATATCATGCTGAAATCTGATGTGTGTTTGATAATTCAAGAAGAGACTCCCTGGTTTTACCAGTTCAGTGGGAGGCTTGTCTACTCCCCTCTTAAATATCCTACTAGCATAGAAAAACAGTACAGGTATTTAAACAAGCATTTGATCTATGAAAGAGATTTGTTTCCTCTGCCCCTCTGCTTTAATCTGTATTTTTATTATTTTTTAACTAGGTGCCATTCTAATATAATCATTTGATTTTTAGATGGTTTTATTTTTTATTGGCTGTTGTTGTTGTTGTTTATTCCTATTAGCCACCACTGACATTTGTGATGAAAATGTAGGGTACAAATGTAATGAATAAATGATTAAAAATAATAAACATACAGGGACCAAGAACAATTCCAAAAAGACCAAATATGGGAAGCTGCTGCTTTGTTGATCTTCTGCAAGTGTCATGTGTCCCCCTAACATCCTTAGCACAAAAAATTCGTACCATGGTGGAAAGAAAATATTGTCCTAGATTATTTATGTATATATTATATAAGCAGTGCACCCATAAAACAACAGAAGTAGAACTATGTTTACAGGGTAGTAAGCCTTGCTGAACATGTTAGGATTTATATCTGAATTAATATGGATAAGTTTGAGCTATGGAATAAATCACTGGTTGTGCAACAGGATTGACAAGTGAATTGCACAATTTCTTCACAGTTTCACAGTTATCAAAGAAAGAGGAAGGGCAGCTGAAAAGCGGATCGGTGAAGCTTATGCTAATATGTTTTGGTTCTCAATGTTGATAAATGTGGTATTGGGCCAGGAAGAAAATACAGGAGTGTCTTCTTGACACCCCACAGTTAAACCTGAACAGGAGTTAGGAAATATGCTGAACAGCAATAGCAAAAGCTTTTTGCTGCCTGATGTGATTCCTAAGGGCAAACATGTTATTGTTGAATTAAGTAACAATTTTCTGCCCCTCTCTGAAATATCACATCAGTTTCCTGGAGTTGCTGCTTCATGTCTGCCTGGTGGCAGAATATGTGCATTCATTTGATAAGTAGAAAGGGGAAAGCTAGGCCATGCTTGTTTGATGATTTAATTCCCCCTCCCATTGATACCAAAATGGATGCTCAAGTCCCATTAAATACAATGGCATAGTGAAATGGTGTCCATTATATAAAATGGCAAAAACCAAGTTTGCTTTAGGAGTGTGTGTGTGTGTATTTAAGCTGTGGATGCTTGAATTTGGATAAAAAATCCTTGGAATCCAAGGGCCAATTGTATGTAACCTTGCTATCCCTAGCAGCCACAATGTATCGTCCAGGAGGCATCTCCAGCTTGCCTAAGATCTTAGCTATGGGAACAGAGCCATAAGAGATAAGGAAAGAAGAGCTACATGGGAAGGAATATGTTACTGGTTCTCTTCAGGTAAAACCAATACCACTCTATACCAAGATATACCTGATCTTGGAAGCTAAACAGGCCTGGTTAGTACTTAGATGGGCGATCATCCAAGAGAATACCTGCTATTTCCAGGCAAGGGTAGGGAAGAATCCTGCCTGAAAGTCTAGACCAGGGGTAGGCAACCTTTTTGAGCCAGGGGCCGGGTTGCTGTCCCTCGGACAGTTGGGGGGTCGAAGCACCAAAAATTAATTAATTAATTAAAAATTTTAAAAAAATTAAATTAAAAAATATGCATGCACACTCTCTCATCCCCAGAAAAGCCATGGCAAAACCCCTGTGGAGATTTTGCTAAGAAAACCCCAAGAACAAGTAATAACAATAATAATATCATCATGGCGGGCGGTGGCGGCAGGACCGACCTGGAGCCAGTCCAAAAGCCTCGGGGGGGGGTGCATCCGGCCCCCGGGCTTTAGGTTGCCTACCCCTGGTCTAGACTCTAGAGAGCTCCTGCTATTCAAGAGTTAAAGTAGCTGAGAATTAGACTCAGTGTAAGGCAGTTTCCCATGAATAATAAGAACAAGGCTCTAATCCAGGCCTGCACAACATACAGGATTTGGGGTGGCCTGCAAAAAAAGTAGACTCCTACTTCTCCATTCCCAGGCTTTCCCCCCTAGAAGCCCAGGGATGCCAACTGATTGCTGACAAGAAGTGCTATATGTCCCATTAACTAAATGTAAACAGTAAGAAAACCTGGAAAATATATTAAAACTAGTACTGCTTAGCAAAGTAATTTTAAAAACAATGTGATTTCATGATAAATAAAAATCTTGAGTAATAAGTGTAATCAATTGATATTAATTTAAATATTCCTTTTTTATAATTGATTTATTTACAGTTTGCCCTCCACATTTGCAGCATTGACTTTTGCAGATTGGATTATTTGCGGTTTGGATTAATATGTTCTCTCTAGGACTTTCTAGGTCCCCCAGCGCAACTCAGCCAGAGGTTGACTATAGAGTTGTGCTGGAGGATCAAGAAATTCCTAGAGAAAACGCTTCTCTAAGCATCTGTAGATCTTCCAGCATGATTCTATTGGTCACCTTCTGAGAGGTATTGACCATAGAGTTGTACTGGAGGACCTGGAGATTCCTAGAGACCTATTCTCTCAGTTAAAAAAAAGGTGGTTTTATTTGCACTTTTCCCACATTCACAGGGGTCCTTCACTCTTAACCCTAGCAAATGTGGATGGATCAACTTTGGGCCTAAGCAGACTGCCAGAAATAGTGCACATTAAATTGAGGCACTGCCCTGGCTCAGTGCTAGGGAATCATGGGAACTGTATTTTATTGTGGCACCAGAGCTCTCTGACAGAGAAGGCTCAATGTCTCAGAAAAAAAATACAATTCCCATGACTCCCTAGCACTGAGCCAGGGCAGTGCCTCAATTAAATGTGCACTATTTCTGGCAGTCTGCTTAGGCTTATAGTTTAATCATTAACTGTACCTTTACTTGGAAAGTGAGCTACTTAAAAACTATCTGTAGCCCGAAGAAGTTTCATCTATTTTAATTTTGACCTATACGTAGTGCCAAGATGTGCAGGTCTGTTTTAATCCTTAGCAAGGAAGCAAACAATGTGGTTTTCTTGCATATAAAACAAGAAAAGAGAAGAGCTTTGCTGCAGTAAAGCAACTCCTTTATGACTGAGGTCATAGCTTGCTACTCCTCTTTCCTCAACTTTGGTCACGTGCCGCAGTCAAGATTACACAAAGGAAATGGGTAGACAAGCAAGGGACAGCTGTTTTGCAAGTTATGTTGCCTCCCCCACCTCTATGGGAACCAAATATATAAACCA